TTCAGAGAGGAGTGGTCGCCTAGAATTTGGTGTCAAAATGTTTTGTAAACAATAACTAAAACTATAATTTCATTTTTGATCTATCTATGAAATTATCTCTAATTTATTAGACTTTATTTTCTTATATTGTTCAATCCAATGAGATTACATAAGGTTTCGTGCGTTGCTCCTTACTAGTCATTGTTAAATAATTTTCTTACTGATAAATATCAATAAAATAACAAAATTGGATTTATAGTAAATTTTGAAAAATCACACTAAAAACTTAAATAAAACAACTAAATATCCCTAGAAGATTCTATGTATGGACTTTTCTCGCGTATCTTTCTTTCTGGTCTCTGAATTGCTTCTATCCGAAACCCTAAATCTCTCTCTAGGTTTTCTCCCGAGTCCATTCCTTATCTCTTTCTCTCTCCACGATCAAAAAAGACTTCCTCTCTCTACATTGAAAAATACTCTCCCTCTTCCCGTTTTTTCCCCTTCTCTGTCTCGTCTGGTTTGTAGTGTTTAGGGTTTTCAAAGCATTGTCTGATATTGAAAAATTCTGCTTCTTTTATGTGGGGTTTTGAAATTTGGTCGTTGATGAGGTTGTCATATAACTAAGCTTCTTAATAATTTTGGATTATTTGATCGAACTTTTGATGATGATAGGAAGCAACGATCAGTTTCTGAAGTTATTCAACTTAATTGATTTATGACAATGAAGAGTTATTTCAATATTTGTTTTGCTCCTTTGGTCCTTTCTTCTATAATCTCTCCGTTGCTTCTTATGATAGTTGTTTGCAATATGAATCGCTTGGTTCATTCTTTCAAAATTCGGTCCGATAATTATCATCAAAAATGATTTTTTATTTACACTTTATTATATTCATTGTGTACTTCTGCTGTGCCACATCCATGTTGATTAAAGGTGTCATGATCGAATCTCTCTCGTTCTCTAGTTTGTTTATGGTCGGGATGATGGGTTTCTTATTTGATCTGTCTGGTTGGAAGGTGTGCCGTTTATATTGATCTTTATTGGTGTGTTTACATTTTGGAAAACCCGATTTTTATTTTGACCTGTTTCTCTCCCCTCTCTGGATTGTGTGTACAATAGGAAGATGTGCTTTCTATTTGTTCACTCCCTTGTAATAATTGATTATCTGTATTCATTTGATGCGTCTTCTATTTTGATATCTTTTGGATTAATTTGCAAAATCTTCTTTTAAGTTATTATGTGATTTTGGGTTTGATCGAGAATTGTTGGAAAAGCAAAGAAAAATTCCTAACTGTTGTGTGTGGAAGTTCTAAGCCGGATGAGTTGATTTTGGCAATTAAATTACAAAAAAAATAGAACCAGGCAAGAAATTTTAAGTAGAAAAGAAATAATAGAAAAAAGAACATCAGAATTTATGCGATTCATCACAGATGTGACTACATCCATGGGCAAAGATGATCAATTTTTTTTCCACTAAATCAAATAAAAAAAATTACAATGCATTTACTTGAAAGAATCATAGACATAAAACTCAATCTCCCACCAAGCCTTCTTCTCTCTATAATTTTCTCTCTCTATAATATAATCCAAAGCTTTTTTCTTTTTTCTTGACACATTCTCTCTACAAAAGCCACTTTAAATAGAAAAAGCAACCCCCATAAACTGGTACGTGAGGCTCTCCAATCTTTTATGTTCTTTTGAATACATAACTTTATCTTTGTCTGGTGACTCTAGTGCTTATCCTAACTCAACTAGGACTAACCCAAAAGAATTTACATAATAAAAATTATCTAAAAATAAGAAAATCCAAATCAAAAGAAAAACAAATCCTTTAAAATTAAGGACTCACGATAATTATCAACAAATCTCCACATTGGCTTGAATAACATGAACTTTTGTACTCAAACTGGCATTGTCAGCATATCGGCAGTTTGGTATTCTTTTTCTTTAATATTTGGTTTCTTTTAATTTTGGGACTTCAATTTAGTTACTATTATTAGGAGCTCATCTTGGAGTCTAATTTAGATTGGGATGGAGGTTGAGACCACATGGATAAGGACAAAGTTACATTTTTCATGAAGTTCGAAAAAGTTGAGATTGACCTCAGATACCAATTTTGGAAGTTTCTTTTGTCTATGTATTAGGTATAAGTTGGAGAGAGAAAACTTAAGGAAAAAGTAGGGATCATATGTAGGTACTCTTTTGGGCTTGTTTTTCTCTTTATATTGGGTTGCTTTGTTGAGAGGCAAAGTGTTAGAAAAATAGAGAAAACTCTTAGGTTATTTTGTAGAGAGAATAAGGTTTGGTAGGAGATTGAGTTCTATATCTCTAGTTCTCTAAGGTACATGTCTTGTATTTTTTTTTTGTTTGATTTTCTAAAAAAACATCGATTGTCTTTATCGTTGTAGTCACATCTGTGATGAACCATATAAATTATGTTGTTCGTTTTTTCTATTATTTGTTTTCTACTTTATTTTTCTTGCTTGTTGCTTCCATATTGTCGGTTCTCTTTTCTCGTACTTTATTTGCCAAAAATCAACTTGTCGGTTTACAGCTTCTGTGCACAACGAGTTGTACCAGAGCCTGGTTTGGAGTTATTGGTATGGTGGTAAAGATTTCGAATGAAAGTTTCAAGGGGAGAAATTTGATGGCAAAAATAATTTTGGAATTTGATAAATCAATGTTCGGGATTTGCTAGTGCAAGGTCTACATAAAAGCGTTGAAAGGAAAGACGAAGAAACTGGAATCTATGTCTAATGAGGATTGAGAAGACTTATATCTTAGGGCTATGAGCACTACTCGATTGTGCTGATGGAGTGAAGTGTTATTTAATATCCTCAATGAGTATTCAACATCAAGTCTTTGGTTGAAGCTTGAGAGTTTATATATGATGAAGTCTCTCACAAATTGAATGTTTTTGAAGCAAAAATTTTACACCCAGCAGATGAATGAAGGTACAAATATCCAAGAGCACCTAAATTGCATTCACAAATTGTTT